GCCGCATAGGCCGCCAACAAGGCGCCAGGGGCGCCCCCCTCGGCTGCCAACCAGTCAAGTGCATGCAGCCACGCACCGCTCCAAGTCCGACGCGCCCGCGCCGGGCTAAGAGAGCGGGCAAGGGAGAGGTCGCCCACAAACGCCCATTTGATAATGCCCTCATCGGCTTTGACCATGCGATTCCATTGCCGCGCGCCCGCGCCATGTGCACAGCATCGCAAGCAGCAACAGCTGCGTGCCAGAGGACAACGCCGTTGGCAGCTGCATCTTGATGTGCCATTCTGATGGGGCCATCGCTACCGCGTATCACGTTTGGGAGGCGGCGACAGACGGTGGCAGCACTGTGTGGGTCGCGCTGACTGGGCCGGTGGCCCCCTTCCAGGTGGAGCTTCTGCGCTTGCCGCTGACGTCAGACCTGGCCCTGCTGGTGCCAACCTCACGATCAGAGCTGCAGCTGCCATCGGCCGTGGTCCTGTGGATGGGTGCTGCGTCGGTGTGCACGGCACAGTGATGCATTGCATGATGGTGCATGGCAGGGAATGCCCTCGGCTTGTTTGCACGCAGGCACAATTGCGATGGCCCCCGGTGTAAGCCCAGGTCCTGACGCCATCACTGCGAAGCTGACTGTTTGCTGACGGCACTGCTTGCCAGTGTGGGAGCCCTGGTGTCACGCTGCCCCGGTGGCCCCCTGTCCGCCGGTGCTCCAGCAGTCCGCCCGTGCTCCAGGGGAGGAGGCCGTGTTTGGAACGCAGTGCAGCTCTGGGCGTACCCACAGGTTGTGGACAAGGAGATGCCCCCAGACCCTGAGGGGCAGCCCTGCCGGTTCTCAAGAGGCATTGCAACCATCCGCCTCCACGAGAGTTTTGCTGATTACGCAGCCTTTGGTAACTGCAGGGGTGGCTCACCATTCCTGAAGCTCGTCGGTGCGAGGGGCCTGGGGGACCAGGACTTGGTGACTGCAGGGGCTGCGCACCTTGCGTAATGGCGGTGCCTACCCAGCCAAAATCTGCCATAGACACGCTCTTTTTCTGACTGACTTTGATGTCTTTCTGCGCATGGGCGTCTTGAAACCTCAAGTGCCGGCGGCTGGGCCATGCCCCTGCAAACAGCAGGCACCGCACACCCTATGCTGGTGCAGGTGTGCACCTGGGCACAATCAGCGCTGACGATGACGTTTCCGACTGGCCTGAGGCGAATGAGCAGCTGAAGCACAGGACGGAGGTACCTTACTTTGTGAAGAGCGAGGTCGTGACCGACACGCCTGCTTGCGGCTGACCATTTTGGTGCAGGGCAACGCGCCGTGGAGCGCGAGCGCAGCAAGCGACGCAAGGAGCACGCAGCTGCGCTGCAGCGCCGCTGGCGCAGAAGCGTGTTTGGCACCATTCTGTGGCCGATTGTATCCTATTTTGGCTGGGTCACTGTGGAGTGAGTACCTCTGTGCCTGGTAATTGGGCGCTGTGCAAGGCACGCCGTCAGTTTGGTTGGGCGGCGGGCCAGTGTTTTCTAGTTAGGGCGTGTTCAACGACCCCTGGCCAGTAAGTCTGTTTCGTGGCTTGCAAGGGCCAGCCGATATTGCGGGCGCCATTTGGGCGCGCTGGGGGTTGGTAAGGAATTCCGCCCCCATGCCCACGCAGGCGTCTTGCGTGGCAGCAGCGGGCTGCAAGGCCCCTGCTATGCCCGATGCGCTATTGCGTGCACAAATATCATCGTGATACCGGTGTGCATTGGTCGCTGCCATGGCTGTGGCTCCGATGCGCACACGCCTGCACTCGAGTCAAACGGTCGGGGGCGTTGTGAGCAGCAAGCGCCCAACAACATGCTGCCCTGAGCCCTTCACGCGACTGCGCTGCCTAGCGCGCTGCAATTTAATGAAATAAAATTGTGTTATTCAGCATGTAACGCGCTCCTGGCCTCCATACAAGCCTCCATCGCAGCGATTCAAGGATTGCGCGGGAAACCAGGCCCCCTTCGAGGCCACTCATTCAAATCTCACCTCTCCGTCTACCAGTAAACATTCGGTAAGGCCCGATCATTCCGCAGTCCCGACACATATACATTCTATTTTTGCATTACTGTCAACCTCAGTGCGCCCCCTTCTGATCTGCACCACGCTGAGCAGCAACGGCCCTCGGCGACCTGTACCTACCGAAGCGAGCAGCCATGTCCATTGTAAGCAGGAAGGGGCGGCTCCCGGAGCCCCTGCTGGACGAGAACCCGGATCGCTTCTGCATGTTCCCGATCAAGTATTCGACCATTTGGGAGTTTTACAAGAAGGCTGAGGCGTCTTTCTGGACCGGTAGGTTGCTGGGGGCATGGTGCCCCAGCAGCCGCTGCACGCCGTGTGCTGCGATGTCACGGGGCCAGCTGCCGAGGGCAGGCGCGGGCGCGGCGCGCGCGCCAGGGCCTGCTGCATCCGCCGGCATTCCTACCTTGACTGTTGAGAATGCGGAGCGTGGAAGCAAAGGCCGGGCCAAGGATGTGACTGCTGGCACCAGCATCCACCCTCATTGGCAGTCGGCCACTTGTTCCGAGCGCAGACCGGACGCGCATCATGCCGCAGGTGCTGCCCCCCCTCCCAACCCCCACACGCATTCGAATACGCACGCACACAACCACGCGCACCCCTCCCCAACCCCACAAATCTCCCCCGGCACGCCCCATCCCCGCCCCCAAAGCCGAGGAGGTCGACCTGGGCGACGACATGCGGCACTGGGAGAAGCTGTCGGGCGACGAGCGCCACTTCATCCTGCACGTGCTCGCGTTCTTCGCCGCTTCCGACGGCATCGTCCTGGAGAACCTGGGGGCGCGCTTTCTCAAGGAGGTCCAGGTCCCAGAGGTGGGCGCCCCTCGTTCAGAGCGCGTCACGGGTTGCGCGCGGGGCGATGCGTGCGCACAGGGGGGTGCGCGAGTCTTTCGCGGAGTGGCCCGCTGGAAGGGGTCGGCGGGGTCACGCGGGGAGCGGCGTGCGCGTGGAGGCGGGGAAGAGGCTCAAGGCTGGTAC